AGCAGGAACTTCTACTTCCCCAAACATACATGACCATTTACAATTTTCTCCTTGGTCATTCTTTAGGAATCTCCCTGTGATCAAAATCTGTACCAGTGAAATAAATTAGCCAACAAGAATATATCAAATCAGTAACTAATGGGATAAACTGCATGTATAATTTCGAATCCTCTTTCTTTTCTTTTTTTTTCCTTTTGCTTTTTCTTTTTCGACGACAGAACATATTTAAAGCACACTTTATAAGAGAGTCTATTTAAAAGCATATACGGATGACATTGACTACCTTGACTTCTGAGGTTTCATAAGCCCAGTTTGGTGAGAAATCAATGATGCTAAACAGCTGATCCTGTGAAAGAGAAGGACTAAGCACATAGTTATCGAGGCGTGCTTGGCTGGAATCATCAACACAGTTCTCACTTTCTACCGTGTCCCAATCGGCCCTGGAACTAGTCTGCATATGTGACTCATTGACATCGCCGAGTTCTTTACTCATCCATCGGTTAAAACTGTCAAGCTTCTTCAAACCTTCTTCAGCAAAAGGGCCATCTACCAAAGACTGTTTTATACCAGAAATGTAGGACTTTTCCTCTAGGGGGCTATTGCTCTTTGAAACCGATTTCAGACACTCTTCGTGCTCATTATTTCCTTGCTGTATTTGAAGTAACTCAACACCATTGACTTCTTCATGATACCTAGAGGTGAGATTATATGCTGCACCTGTATGCAAGTTCTGATCCAAAGGCCAGTTGGTTAGGTGAGAAAATTTGACTAAAAAAGACTATTAATAGTGTCAATTAGAACGTGAACGTAAATTCATAGTCCTCAAAATAAGATAACCACACAATATATGTTAGAACGTAGCTATTGGAAAAAATATAAAACCAATAATGCAAATCACCTGTAATATACAATCGGAAACCACAACTTACATACTAATTAGAGATTATCTCACCACTTACGACCACAAAAATGTTTCGTATTACGAAAAAGGAAATGCATTTTCAAGATGTAATAGGCAACAAGGAGTAGTATCAGAATTCTGGAGTTTTGATTATAGCTTTCCTTACAGTTTTGTTTATGTTGTATCTCTAATTTACTTGGTACTTAATTTTGTTTCCTTTGACACCTTATTTTCTATCCTTTATATTTGATTCATTAATCAATAAAAGAAGTTTCTAAATATTTATTAAAAATGACTACTACGAAAGGCTTCACTTCTCCAGAGACGTCAACAGATCATTGAAACCAAACAATTTAGACATCTAATTTTAGTAAACTTCATCATTAATGTCATACATTTAATCAACCGTCGGCAAAATCGGCATACACGTCAAGAAGGGGAAACTATAACTCAAACAAAAACCATAGTCTGTCACCATTTTAAATTTATACTTCTGCAGCTACCTAAATGGGAAAATGTTTTGAGCAGACTTTCTACCATAGCCATCACATCTAACACTTGCAATTGTGAAAGCAGCAATTTATAAGGAGATGATAATCTATCATACAGTACCTGCCACTCTTCTTGGACTTGTGGGTGACTACCAAAGTCTGGCCTTTTACTAAAACCATTGGGGAAAAGCTGCTCCAGCGGCTCCTGTTCTTGTTTCTGAATGACACCTAAATTAGCAGACTGTGCTGCAGAAAATGATGGCTGAAAAGGCAATTGAATGCCAGCGTTGTCATTTTCCAAGGTACCATCCCATGCTGGAAAGTTCAAGTTTTTCTGATGGTCATGAGTAACTCCGGCACTTCTATTGCCTTCACTCTTATCTGCTAGAGCAAGTGAGCTAAAACCCATCCCAGGAACAGAGGACAGTTTTTCTTGATAATTATCTGTTATCAATAATTGCATCAAAGTGGGTAAACCTCGTTTCATGTGAAAATTGATATCCAAATGCACTGGTGTTGCAAGAACTAAATAATGAATTAAACACCGAAAATAAAATTACTTGAAAAAGATATTGGATAGTAAGCATCAGTGACTCCTGCATTAATCTTTTCTGCAAAAGGCTGTTGTAATTCGAGGAAAGAGTTGAGTCTGGAACTTGCTTGGTTACATGCTGCAAAAATATCAAGACAAATTGCGAGATTGAAATGACAATAATTGAGATTAGATCAAAAGGAAGGGGACAAATACTGACAGAATATTCGTCTGAGAATACATTGTGAACCAGGAACAAAAAGTGAGCAACCCAGATATGGAAAATGAAAAATCCAAAATAATTGCAGAGATGTAACATATAAATGCTGATGCACCTGATTCAGCATCTTCGTATTCTGATGCCTGAGCACTGTTCAAGCTTGTTGTATCTGTAGTTTGTGAAGGCATTCGATAACTATTTGTAGGAAAACTAGAAGAAGCAGAGCTATCTGAACTGGGTGCAATATCAGCTTCTTCAGTCTCTTTTATTCGGTTAAAATTTGTCCTATTGCCCTGATTAAGTTGTAAAAATGAACATTAAAAGGGCACTACGTGGATATTTCAAGCAAAATAAAATCCATGTAAAGCAGGAGCTACCAAAAATAATAACCTGCACAAAGCCTGGATTTAAAAAGACATGAAAGAAAATGTACAAGCATCCTACTTAAAAATAATACACTTTTAAAATACATTTGGTTCGTTTGGTTCCCGCGTTTAAGTCAATGATTTTGATTCTGAATTCAAATTTTGTGAGAGAACTATTGGCGGGAACTTTTTTTATTAAATTTTTTGTGTGAAAAAATTATTGTAGCAGAATCAGAATCATGGTTTCAAACGCGTGAAACAAACGGCCCTGTTATTTAAAAATGCAATGTAGACAACCAAGTCCACCAGTATGGAAGTTTTTAACAGCTAAGATTTCATAAATTCTAGGACATGATTTTTGCCACCAAAAAGAAAAGAAATCAGGATAATCGTTGCAAACACTACTCAAAGATAAGCGTTACCACCTTCAAAGAATAGTCAAAAGTCACGTTCATATTTCATATTATTTAACAGCGATTTTCGATTGAAATGATTTTTTTCCTCACCGCTGAAAGCGCTATAAAGTAGTAATTGCAGAGAGAGAGAAAAGGAGATTTAGAAGGAGTTAAAGAAAACAAAATCACCACCATTTGTTATCGACGCCACACGGCCAATAAGTGGTCATTCAACTTTGTTTCAGAACCTTGTCAAATTTCAAACCAAGTTAGAATCCTACTACAACACCTTCATTTGCCACTCTCAGACAATTTGCTGCAATAATGACCATGTACACATTGCAAGGGTGCCTGCATAGGCTTTTATCTTGTTCGCAGTATGTATTAAATGATAATGTGTACCATCACTTTTGTTTTAACTGATACAATTAAGTGCCATCCCCGGCAGTGTTCATTTGCAGTTTGATGGGGGGGAATCTGACTATTAATCATTGATTGCATAAATTTGCAACCATGGTATAAGTTTTTCATTTTGCCACTCAAAATTCACCATGTATCAGGTTTCTCAACCATTGACATTAACATGTCGGAAATCATTAAACCTACATTAAAAAAAAATGTAGAAAATTGGACCTACATTTTTTGTTCTACTTAAAAAAACTCGATCCGATAAATTGGGAAACAAATAAGAATTGGTAGTAGAATAAATCATTACCTTTACTTCCCGGTAGTGGACAAGAACTATGTGTGAAAGCTCCCTGCGTTAGTAGCCATTTGGGTAAGAAACAGAATATTAACCCGACAAGGAGCCTTCTAAATGAGTAGAACGCTTATAAAACATAGAGTTTTTGCATGAACCAACTAATATGACAGGCTTGAGTGGCGTGTGTGAGAGAGATAGAAAGAAAGAAGCAGCCCGCTTAAGAAAAAAAGCCACAAATTTAGAGCATGTAACGCTAATGCATTCGAACTTCTCTATATAAGTTGCACCAAACTAATGAATAACTATAGTTTGTTAAGAACTACGCTAGAAAAGCAATCTAGTACATTTTCAGTCACTAAGATGTGAGTAAAAAAAAAGGAGGGGGATAGATTAGCATATACGCTTATTCAAACTCACTCTTCTAGCATCCAATAACTGCGCCTTTGAAAACTTTCCTTTTCTTCTCCATGAGCATAATAGCAATGGAGCACATCAATACTTCCAGCCTGTGAGGAAAATTCAAATTTATTTAGCGCATTAAAGTGATTTTACCATGAGTAGTTACTCATGGAAGTAACCAGAGAACTAGTAAAAGCCATTCATCCACACACACAAGAAGAAAAGAGAGAGAAGCATTATCCTTCATCGAACCATCGAGATTGTATATTATAATAATAATAATAATAAAAGATCTCTGTCCTAGGCCTTAGAACAGCATGCCATATTGTTGGCAGCTATAAATCAACCTTGAGCATTACCCTTCATTAGTTCAGCATCTGAGCTCCTGTCTCATCTCAGTTTCATAAAGAAGCATCAGTTTACTTTTAACTCTCTAAAGCAGTACTATTATGCAGTACCCGGAGGGTACATTTCTGAGAATGTAACCACGTGATATGATAAAACAGATGTCTAAACCTAAGAACCCTCGTCAGCTTTCAGAACCAAAACACAAGAAACCTTTTCAATCAATGCAAGAAGACTTATGCCACAGGCAGTGTGCAATCGAGTATGCAAGTACAAGCAATCACACATCTGCATATGTAAAGTATAAACGATCACAAACAAAATCTAAAGCAGTAAAAGCAGACGCCCGTGTCTAGATACCCAAGAAACTGTATTCCTTATACAAGAAAAAAAACTAAGCGTTCCCTGATGCTTACCTTGAGCCTTTCATGAGCTTCCTTCACTGTCTTTCCATCTTTTTTCTTCCTCCAGTTATGACCGTCTTTTCTGAAATATCTCAGCACTTTACGATCAAAAAGAAAAAGAGAACCACCTGAAATAAATAATGCATATTATTGTCAAGCCACGATATGTTTTGACACATGCCTCAATGAGAATAAAAGTTACACCCAAAATATGATTTATAGGTTGATAGACGTAGGCAGAGTAAGAGCTTCAAAAACTTCATGCGACTCCTTTAAAAAAAAAAAAAAAAATCATGTGACACTAATGGGGAAGCAAGTTTCTTTTCTTGAATTGGAATGATTTAGATGACATAAGAATGAGCTATGACTGAGAAACTCGAAATCTCGAAGGTAATGACTATTTAAGGAGGAAAAGCAACTTTCATTATAAAGCCTGGCAACAGTCTGTCACCAGTATTCATCACAAACCAGTACCAAGACTGGGTATAGAAGATTCCTTCCATAGACAAAAGTTTGGTGTAAAGTATTTCTGATTGACAATTGGAGAATCACCCATGAAAGAAGATATAAAAACAAAAAAAAATGCAGTTAAGAAACATACTGGGTGGCATATGTGCAGGCTCGGGGGCAATGCGGAATTTTTTATAGTTCCTCAGAATTTCACATATTTCAGCAGGGCGTAGCCATCTGTGCTGTGCTTCTACGAGTATTTGCTCAATATCTGCATTACATCATACCAAGTAAATAAAATTTTGTACAAAAAAGGAGAACTAGAACTAGTAAACTAATAAGACCACCACATTGACCATTGTAAATAAAAACAACAAGATGACACAGAGAAATCCAGAATATCGTCTAGCATGTGAAGTCTGAGAACCATAGTAATGGATGTGACACTTGCTCCTTTTTCACGGTAGTAAGGACAAAAGAAACGTCATCCAGCCATGTATATTTGGTAATTTCAAATTTTATATTTTTTAAGAAAGTTGCTTTATGTATAATTGCTGATAGCTTGTTACACACATGATATCCTATCTGTTCTTGCTATCTCTATTCTCTGCTACAAACGTATCAACCTATTACTGATATTACAATTATCTAGTATTAACTATGGAGCTGCAAAGAAACGTCCACCATGGAAGGCTTTATGAGTTGTACTTCAAAAGAAATTAGAATACTCGAGAACTGATAGTTGCATCACACGAATCTTGCTATTTTACATTCCAAAGTACAACACTTCACATGAAACAGGTAGTAAAATCCAGTCAATAACATGTTTTTTTTTTAAAAAGAAAAACCTTTCATTGATAAAATAATCATTACAAGAGAAAGGATGATAAGGTAAGAAGACAGAAAAATAAAAGAAAATAAAATAAAAATAAAAAGAGATAGGATAACAGTAAATGACCTTGTAGCAAGACTATGAAATATAAGTGTTAAACCTAATTCCATAGTAATTGAATAATAGGGTGAAATGCCAAAGAAAAGCGCGAGATTGATGATGCTAGTTAAGAAGAAGATACAACCTAGTTGTCGGGTATAGGTCATTTGTCCATTAGAACTACCATTCACTCCACTATAAAGAACCAATTTTGTCAAAGTTTTACATGGTTTCTAAAAGACTTCAGAGGGACAAATAGTTGGAGCATTACCTAAAATTCTTCACTTCATCACGTGACTAAGTGCCCAGTTCAATCAAGGCTTCACAGAGTTCAAGCATGCAAGTGTCTTCTCTATATAACCGGATTCATATTACTTAACAACATCATGTTTGGACATATAGATTACAAAGTCCACCTTTTAAAACTTGCAGAATGACCTTATTATTCTATGCAAATTACTAATAAAACACATAAAGCTTGTAATTTCCCCAACCATGTATTATAAGGCAGCTCTCTCTCTTTTACATAAACGAGTGGTAAGCAACAAAAGATCTACATATACAAACCCCACATCTCATCAAAAATCAAAAGCCCAACAAACAAAAATGAATATCATTAAGAAGCAAGAACTAACCACTACAAGCTCCTTCAAACAATAAAGAAAGAAAGAAAAACAACCAATACAATCTCAACCAGTACTTCAAAAGTGTTTCCATCATAATTCATGACACCAAAACTAAGTACAAACTTTATCTGGTAACCCAAAAATACAAAAATACTAATTCAAAGCGAAAACCCAAATAAGGGTTTTGTAAATGATAAAGATTGCAAAAGAGTAAACTAGAAAAATAAAAAACGGACAGCTTTTGTTGATTAAAAGTGAAAACAAAAGCTGACCCAGTTGGTTAGCAAGCCCGAAGCGCCTGCTCTCAGCCATGGAACTCGTTCTCGGTTATCAAATATCAATCCAGACGTGATTTCAGAAGCAAATGGAACTCAAAAAGCATAGCCTTTAGGAAATTGAAAACGAATTTTTTTTGTTAGCCCTTTGACCCAGATAGAGAAAAGGTTTGACAAAAAAAAAAATGTAAAGCTTTGACAAAAAAAAAAAATGTAAAGCTTTGACAAAAAAAAAAAAAAAAAGTAATGGTTTGGGGGGCTATGGATTCGGAAGCCGTGTGGAGATTGAATGAATGTTGGGGAAAAGTTCAAAAAGAAAAGAAAAAGTTTTGAGGGAGTTTTTGAAGAAGTGAAAAAGATTGACAGAAAAAAGAAAGGAAGGTTCAGAGGAAGGAGAAGGCCGGAGGCCGACGTGGGGGAATTCAGAACTGGAACACTGATGGACGATAAACTCGTGACAATTACTTCATCTCACTCTCGTTGACGTAAATATCGGGTTTATTATTATTATTATTATTATTATTATTATTCTCCTTTTCTTTTGAGACAATTCTGACGTAAATACCGGGTTATTGTCTTTTCATTTTTATCTTTTTTTTCATTTTTTATTAAAGCAAAGAAAGTCTTTTTGATAGATTTTTACTGTAGGGCTTCAGGACATGACGTACATCCCTGTTTTTTTTTTTTTTTTTTGGCCCGTTATACTTGTATCAAAAACTTATATTATGTATAATTTTAAATTTTAATATGAGAATCTCAGGTCTTATTTATACATGTTTAAAGAGTCCGAAGGATTCTTCTTTTGTATTTCTGAGGTAGAGTGATTTATGTGATAATTTTAAATTGAGTCTGAGTTTTAATTTGACTTGTAGTTATAACTTGAGTATGTATTTATTTGAGTTTGTGTTATGGTGAGTCAAAACTTAAATTTGTATTTAAATAGTATTTTAATAAAAACTCAATGGTAATGAAAAATTTTAATAGGCTATATATGTGGGGTTTTATTCGTCTTTTCGTTCTAAATGCATATAAAAAAAATCATCTCAATCAGAATTAAAACGAAAAAGTTATGATATTTTTAAGAATAAAAAAAAATACTGTTCATTAATTTGAGTTCGAGTTTATGAACTCGAGTTGAAGGGGAAACTTAAACTCGAGTTTAGCCTTAAACTCGAGTTCAAACTTGAATTTAAACTCAAATTTTACAAAAAAAATATGAACTTAAATAAAATTGTAACTCGAGTTCAAACTTTTTGAGTTTTGTTGCAAAAGAACAATCACTGAATTATTAGAATTTTCTTCTCTAACCAATAAATTTTGCCCATTAATGAAGCTTAGGGGAAAGTAGACAAAAAATGTATGAGTTTAAATTTTTGTTTTTTAGTCAAAAATAAAAAGTAAAAATACTCATGTACAAAATAAGTTCAACTATTTTATCTGAAGCTTATTCACCGGTGGAGTTCGGCCAAGTCCCAATAATTCCAGCCAATTCTATCCAATTTTAGTTAAATAATATTGTTTTTGTAATTATCTAGTTAAAATATATGTAATTTAATTATCGTAAATAAAATCCTCTTAGGATTGGAATTAATAATTTGATTTCAAAATAAATGATTAATTATTCCAAATGGTAAATTAAATTGGATTCCCAACTATTCATAAATAAAATAATTATTGCGATTTAATATTTAATATATTATTTCTTAAAATTAATTAATAATTAATTCTCCCTGAAAAAGTCTTACTACGCCAAATGCTCGATCCACCTGTGACCGTCGCTGTGCGTCTGGTAGAAAGTTAATCCAACATGTTTTTTTAGAAATTTGTAACCTAGCATAGGAACGCGATGGAGATATATGATCAAGCTACAATAATAAAAAAATAAGATTATTAGCACAATTGGTCCTTAATTTATTTAATAAATGACAGTTTAATTTTTTTTTTTTTTTTTTTACAAATCGACCCTCAACCTTTTAAAATATGTGTAATATGATTTTTTTCATCAAGATTCGTCTAAAAACTAACAACTCAATACCCGTGACCACCAACGCGACCCAAATTAAAAGCCTACAAGAATACTATTTTGCTGGTTTTTTTTTTTGGTCGAGTTGTTGTTTCAGTTTGATTCTGGAAAGAAAGCTTGTGAAAGTTTGTTGTTGTTAGTTGAATTTGACATCGTGAATGTATTTCAAAATTGCAGAAAGTTCTGTGCTTTGTGTTATATAGGGCTTGTTCTTTTAGAGTTTAACTTTAGTATAATTCTTGAGTTGAATTTGAGTTATAACTTGAGTTGAACTTGTAACTTGAGTTTATGTTTGGTTGTGTACATTTGAGTTATGGTTTGAGATAAGAATCTTTTTGAGTTTGTGTTTGAGTGAGTCAAAACTTGAATTTGTATTTAGATAGTATTGCCTCGTTCGTTTCGCTGATTCGAGTTTTGCTACAGTAAAAAGCTCTCACAAACAGTCACATCTAACTTTTTTACTACAGTAAAAAGCTCTCACATAAAATCACATCTAAACTCGAATTCTAAACTCGAATCAGTGAAACGAACGAGGCCTTAATAAAAACTCAATGCCGATGAAAAATTTTAATAGGGTATATAGGTCTAGTTTTATTCGTCTTTTCGTTGTCAACGCATAGAAAGAAAAATCATCTCAATCAGAATTAAAACGAAAAAGTTATAGCATTTTTAAGAATATAAAAAATATTATTCATTAATTTAAGTTCGAGTTTCTAAACTCGAGCTGAAGGGGAAACTTGAACTCGAGTTTTAGTTATAAATTCGAGTTTAAACTTAAAAGAACATGAACTCAAATAAAGTTATAACTCGAGTTACATTTTTTTGAGAAGAACAAGCCCATAGTAAATCCATTTGATCCATTTGAGGCTGCAGATGATTCGTATTCTTACCACAAGCGAGATGTATTGTTTCACTTAATTGTGATTCAAATGATTAAATTTGATTTAGGTTTAAATATAAAAATGAAATTTTAGTTAAAAGATGAATGAAATTGACAATAAATGCCCCTATAAAGATAATCATGTGTAAGTCACGTATTAAAAACCGTCTAAAATTTAACGAACGTGAGCAGAAGAACTATTAATACAATAATTTGTAAATTCAAGGGGTCAATTGCCAATAATTTTAATTTAAGGACTAATTTTTCAAACACAAAAAGTTGAGAAGTGTCTCATGCAAAAAAAGTCGCAATATTATGCAAGTCGTTTTCAGGAACATGTTGATAGTAAGCTCAATCCCTATAAGTTCCGCAAGAACCGCAGAAGCTGCTTTCGTAACGTGAGATTGAAGCTTCAATACTTATCCTAGAAAGTTTCTCACAACAATCCTAAGAGCTAAGTTACGCTCTTTGAAGTTGGCATCCATGTTCAGTTCAACGTTTCAACGAGAGATCTCTACCATTTAAAGTGTTTTTGTATCTAGAAATTGCCAGAAGAATTGAAGTTATAATGAATACCTTGCTCAGTAATACAAGTAGGAGGTCTCAAATGTTAGTTTGAAAGGAACATTTTCTTCACAAAAACGCGAAGAACATAACGATATAGAGGTTTTTTTTTTTGCAATAAAATTTAGAAAAAATTTGAACTCGAGTTACAATTTTATCAAGTTCATGTTCTTTTGTAAAATTTAAGTTTGAACTTGAGTTTAGAGCTAAACTCGAGTTCAAGTTTCCCCTTCAACTTGAGTTCATAAACTCGAACTCAAGTTAATAAACAATAGTTTTTTTATTCTTAAAAATGTCATAACTTTTTCGTTTTAATTTTAATTGAGATGATTTTTTTTTTCTATGTATTCACAACGAAAAGACGAATAAAATCTCACCCATATACCCTATTAAAATTTTTCATCACCATTGAGTTTTTATTAAAATACTATCTAAATACAAATTTAAGTTTTGACTCACCCAAACACAAACTCAAATAGATTCTCAATTCAAATCATAACTCAAATGTGCACATCCAAACACAAACTCAAGTTATAACTCAAACACAACTCAAGATCATCACTCAAGTCACTCTAACTCAAAAATGCAAAACAACAACCTCATAGGCTCTTAAAATTTTCTTAAACTGCTAGGATCCATCTCATGTTGTTATACAAAATAATTATCACAACTATAGTTCATACCTATTTGGCTAATAACTTCTGGATGATCAAGCTCTCTTACACCGATGATATTCACTGTTATTTTCCTCTGTTTGAATTAATTAGGTGACCTTTTTTTTTAAGAGTTCTGCATGGTTTAGGATTACGGTTCTTAGTTTTGCTACAGTGTTTTTCTCTCATAAAAAATTTAAATTTTAAAAATCAGAATCATAAACCACGGTTTTGAACCCATAAACTAAACATTACCTTACGTCTAGGCATTGATTGATTCTATTGAGCTTCTTAATTGTCCTTTCAATCTTTATTTACTACAACTTTTTTAGTCTAAAGGAGAGAGCACAAAAAATTTAGATAGAGGCTAATGAAATACGCCAGTAAAGGTATATTTATAGCAAAACAAATAAAAATTGAAATAAAATTCGAGTTTGAAGTATGGTACATGCACACTCCCTGGAGCAAGTAGGTGTGTGTGGTGTCCTCCTCAAAACTCCCACACATCATCTTTTACTTATTTTGTACAATTATCCTCCGGTTTAAAAAAAAAAAAAAAAAAAACCATCAGAGAACCAAAACCCAATCTGTATTGATAATTGATTTATATTTATCCTAACAATTTAAATAATTATTTTCTATACTTATGACAATTATTTATTTTAACTAATAAAATAAATAATGCATGATATTTTAACTAAACAATTAAAATACTATAATTATATTTTAAAGGGTAGTTTTGAAATTTCATATATTTTATTCCAATTTCTTAATTTAGTAAACAAAAGAATAGGAATTTAATTCCTTCTATAACTTAATTCCTTATAGGTTAGTAAACACTTTCATAGAATTATGGGATTCAGTTTCAAGGAATTAAATTCCCCTTCTCTTAGAACTCAACTCATATTCTTTGAATTCCTTATTAGTAAATGCACCCTTAAAATGTAATAGGAAAGGTAAAGGGATTGGAATAGTAATATTATCAATCTAAGTGCTAAAAAATGTTTTTGTACAATTAAATAATCATTAGCTATGTAATAATTTATTAAGGACAGATAAATGAATTAGAAATTCACTCTCTGTGACAATGAATCAATACCAAGGGGTGTAAGGATTGACATCACTTCTTGCTATAACACACTATTAAAAAGGAAAGAGAATCATTTCTTACTTTTCATTTTTCTTTGATGCAAAGTAAACATACTCCCAGAGTAGTAAAGATCATAGATCTCTTCGAATTGTAGATTCAAGGCCCAACCTAACCCATTAATAGAGAGAGGATTGGGTTGGGCTCAATATTTTGGCCCATTAAGAAGCACCAGTTGGATTTGTGTAGACCTATGATATGTTGGCCCATCGCTAAAAAAACTACACTTAAAAAATATTTTTTAAATATATATTCAATATATACATCATTATCATATATGTATATATTGTTATGATTTGCCTCATTGGGTTTTTGTTCTAAAGATTTTTTTATGAGATGGTGATAAAAAATACATTTCTTTTCATATTCTTATTGACTATAAACATTTTGTTTATTCTTTAACTTGTTTAGGAAACTCGAAAAAAAAAAAAATAATGTACTACAAAAAAAAAAAAATCCTAAATTGGCCAACTTGATCATGGTCCATTGGCCGACCCGACCTAACTCACTTGAAATGATGGGCTAGCCTGACCTACGACATGCATAGACTTAAGGAGAATGGGCCAGGCTGGCCAGACCATTCTTGTACCTTGAGTTTTAAGAGACTGAAATCGTCCAAGAAAATTCCATTAATTAATCCTAGAGAATTATGTAGCTAGCAAGGAGACATATGCACATATACAATTTAAACTACAATAATTATTATATGTCTAATTATACTCATAATTAAATAAACACAATTATTAACTTTGATTTGTGCCACTAAAATATAAAAGTTGCATTCTTTTCTTTTAAGGGAAGGGGGATTCCACTCAATATAAATCAAAGATTATATGTGGATGGCCAAGTAATATAAGGCTGACCCTCAAAAGAGACCAACTATGTTAATACATGACCCCGTTCTTTTCGCTGATTCGAGTTTACAGTAAAAAGCTCTCAGAAACAGTCACATCTAATTTTTTTGCTATAGTAAAAAACTCTCACACAACATCACATCTCAACTCAAATTAAAAACTCGAATTAATCATGCACCGTGAGTAAAAGCCTGATAAATGGGAAGCACCTTAACATACCTAGAAATGAGCGTACATGACACTTTACAATTAAGACCCTGAAGACCAAAAGAAACACTGGATTGATCAAGGGTCACAACAATGTAACACATAGACCACTAACCAATACAAACATTTAATACCACAAAGAGCGAACTCTTGCAGATTGGACACGGAGAAACCACCTCCGTTACTACAACCTTAAAGCAAATAAACAGACTCACATGGGTAGAAAACAAACGCCATTATTGAAAACCTCGCGCGAAACCCAAAGGACAACACTTCAATCACCAAAGTTAGAAGCCGAAAAGGAGGGAGAGGAAGAAACGCATAAGTTATATAAATCAAAAGGAAACTTTACATAACAATTTTAAGTATATCTATAGTTATAAACATTAACCATGTGTTCAATATAATGTGCTTTTACCCTTCAATATAACCTCTCTAATTACATTTTTATTGGTTCCCCATCCATGAGAAACATGAGAAATCCCCACGGTTCCTACAATAGACTTCGCCAAAATATATAACCGTTCGACCTTATTTCACTTTTGATGCAAAAGCAAGTGAGCAGCTCTCATTAATTCTCCTTCTCAGTTGAGATTCTCAGTACGTAGAAGTAGAACTTAGTAAGAGGCTAGGAAGAGAGGAAATGAAGCTACTAAAGAAACCTAGAAAATTATATACCATTTTTGCATTGAACAAGTCTGTCAATAGTGCAAAAGATTTCCCTGCTTTCATGTGAGGTAACACTAAAAGGATCAAAAGGTCATGGTTCATTGGACGTCTGCACTGAGAATGACAAAAATAATCAACCAACCGATCATTCATTTTCAATCCCAGTAACTCTCACGACTCAATCTTCTTCACTCTTCCTCTACTTTATATAGCTTTATAGCAATGTTCTTTTTTTAAGTAGAATTTGTTAGAATGGTTACCGTACAAAGTGAAATTGACAAAATGAACACTTATTTTTACAAAGAATGGCTACCTAGTCGTTCTTCTTAAAAATATCCGTTCCGTAATTATTTTGTAAATAAATTTTTTTTAAAAAGTTATTTTTACTGATAAGACTTTCTTATTAAGTCATTTTTACAAATGGCAAAACAATGGTCATCTCAAAGTTTTCAACAAATTCATCAAGGGTAAAAAAAAAAAAAAGAAGAATAACCTTCTAAAAACAGATCTTAAGCTTAGTTTTTTCTTTTTGCTGAATAAAAGCTAAACTATTTATAGTAATGGCCAATGCAACATCGTCAACACTACAACGACCAAAAACACAAATATAACCAACAAATTCAGCTAGTAATGTATTACACAAATACCAGCCGTAAGGGCTTCATTACGGCCAATAAAACTACTGGAGTTAACTGCAGCAACCACCATATTAGAATCAGATTCGGCAAAATCTGCCAACTTTGTGAACGCACAAAAGACGAACAATGCTTAAAAGCATGACGTTCAGCCAAGTGAGGACGACAAAGCAAATCAAGGACTCAACCACAGCCTCAACTACAATTAGATTCAAGGACCCCGTTGGGAGAGGGTGCCAGTGTCAAGGAGGTTTTCTACCTTTTAATATTTTGGGATTTGTCCATGTAGAGAAAATGCATGGCATAGCCATTCCCCGGGTTGCTCCCATTTCTTGGGGTGGATCTGCATTGGGCAAATTACAACATGAAATGAAGCATAGAAAAGAGGGAACTAGAATAAATAAACAGGAAAAAGAGCACACATTTTAAGCCATCATTTTCTAAGTCTATGAATTGAAGAAATGAAACCTTGCTTCAACCATCGTCTCATTTCATAAGAACATGAGATGATAATAAACACATCTCGTGTTCTGCAAATTGCAGGAAACATGCTTGATATATTGGAGCTTCCAATTTATTTTGAGTTATAAATTGACCGGTGATAAAAACCATGGAATGTGGAAGGGGCCTATTACATTAAGGTTGTGCAATGACAACCAGAAAACATAGGATGTGGGACAGAGATAACTGAACAAAGCAAGTTATAATAACATCAACCACGATTTTTATTTTTTTATTTTTTTTTAACATTCTTTTACCATCTTTTTATAAAACGTCAACCAAGAACTTAGAAATAGAAGATAGCACGTTGTGGCATATTGTACCTAATAAGAGAACATCTGCCTGAGCATCGGATGTAAGGGAGAATTACTTGCCACGTAAGAGGAATTCACCTTTCATCAAACTTCCAAGTGAAACAACTGCATCAACCTAACTGCAAACAGAAAGTCCAAACGCAGTTTTAGAACCTAGCTCGTATGCTTAGGAAATAAATTGAATCATTATTCACACACATGCCTATAAGCAAATCAGATTGCATTCAAAATATTAAATAGAGACCACAAACGTCATCATGAAAAACCAAATTACACTGGGATCATAATAAGGTAAGGTAGTATTGGAGTTAATTTTACAGTGTTGGAATTTCATAATTTGAACATTTTATTTTTTGGTACTTATTTTGATGACACGGACTAGAAGGATTTTAACAAGAAAATGCACTAGCTGCAAACCAAACATACCCTCGTCATTTGTGCCTCAGCTAAGGCAAACAAAAATATGTGTAGACTAACGTGTTGACTAATAACAGATAATAGAAATTAAAACTAATGAGAAATACCTGAACCGATCTTGGTCCATCGAATGTCCAATATCATCTTCAAGCACATACAGAAGCTTTTTGTACGTATGTCCATCCAAGAGGTCTTTCTCTCGGAACTCCTTCAACAGCTTCATGGCCTCCTCAACCCTCCCTCTTCTGCATACCTCGTCTAATATTGTTCTGTACGTAATAAAATCAGCCGATCTCCGCTGCTCAATCATCTCCCACAGATACTTCACTGCCTCATCAATCTCTCCACTGAGAGCCAAAGCATTTACAAGCGAGTTGTATGATTTAGAACTTGGAACAAAGCCTTTAGTCTTCATTTCACTGCATAACTCCATAGCATTGTACGTCCTTTCTTGGGCACATAGCCCGTGGATCAGATAATCATACGTAAACACGTTCGGCAAGCAGTTATACACCACGCCCATCTGGTGAAATATCCTAAGTGCATCATTGACATGAAGGGAAAGTACATACCCCTTAACCATGGAGTTCAAACAGAAAATATCAGGCTCAATACCATCATTCACCATTTGCCTAAACAGAAACCTAACTGTATCCATATACACATGGTTTATGTAAGAATTTCTTCCCCTACTCAAAAATGCCGAGAAAAGAATATTATAGGTTCTAATTGAAGGCCTACAATCTAAGTATCTGCTGCTCTTCATGTGGTTGAATATATTGATAGCTCGAGTCAACTTCCTAGCTTCTGTAAAAAAGTAAATAATGGTGTTGAAAAGAGCCTCATTTCCAAAATGAGAGAGAGAGAGCACTTGGTTGACAATATCATCCATCTCTTGGTACATTTGTGCAACACCAAGCTTCTTTATCACAATGTGGTAAGTGCAAATCCCGTGCTTGAACCTCGGCTGCTGCAAGGCCCAATTGAACAACTCAAGACACACAAGAGGATCATCTTGCTGGGCCATGAGATTAGCGAGTTCTTCAGGAATAAACCTAGGGAGAAGTTGAGAAACCACCCTTTGAAATTGATCTTCATCAAGACTAGGTTTGCTATTGGCTTTTCGTCTCTTACTAGCTCTCCTCCTAAAAGACCTTGACATAGGCTTAGTCGAGAAAAAAGAATACAACGAAAATCGCTCATATGAACTTGGAAATCCATTCGAAGCAGTTCCAAAACCTAGCTTAAATCTGGTTCGTGGCACAATGTGTGAACTTCCCGATGCATTCTCACTAACCAATGCCGAATTACTCGATACTACATGAAATCTTCTAAGATGAAAGAGATGTGGGAAAAATGTATTGGAACAACAGATTTGATTAGCAAAACCCACGTTCAATAACCCAAAGATGCAGGGTACAACTTGAGTCTTCTCCTTACTCATCTTTTTGAAAGTGAACTGAAACCAGAGAAGTTATTTAGAGATCCACATAAAAATAGTAGCATTTTAATATTGATACTTGGTCTTGATAAACGAAAACTAAGATAAAAAAAAATAAGTTAAAAAAAAAAACGGGTTCATTTATATATTATAAAAATCAAGACAAACAATAAAAGAAATATTATATCAAACTCAGTCTCTTTGATGTTCTTAAACATCTGTGATCAAATCCACAAATGGTTACAGGTTAAAGGCTCATCACCGTTAACAACAATATATGCAGATAGAGAAGCGTAACAATACGAACATCAAAAGCAAAGTAAGAAAAGTTTCAAGAGAGACTAAGGCTTTGTGTGGAACCTCACTCTTATGGTAAGAACGAGTATATGAAAGAAAGTGAAAAGAAGAAAAAGGAAGTGGAAAGAAAAGATAAATATTTCCTTGTGTTTGGAATTTAAGGAAAGCTACGAGGAAAACAAAAAACTCCTTTGTTTTTTTTTTTTTTTTTTTTTTTTTTTTTTTGTGTCTGAATATTAAAAAAATAATATTAAATTAAATTGAATTGAATCTCACTTTTTTTCTTCTCCTTTTCTCTGCTCACCTTCTCTTTCTTCACCTTAACTCACCTCGTTCTCTCTTCTCTCCTATCTTCTCTCTTCACTTTTTCAAAGGAGAAAATCATTTAAATAAATTAGAAAATAGGAAAAGAAAAAAAAAAAAAGAGGAAAGCTTCTTTTGGTGGAAATAAACCATGGCCCATGTCATAAACATTGAAAATGCAGAAGAAGAAACTAATCTTCCCACGGAGCATCTTAACCATAGATATTCTGGTGGTATATTAAAAAAAAAACAAACAAGAGAACTTGCAAGAACTCTACAGAATATGAAAAGCAACAAAAGCTCCAATAGAATTTCTGGGGTAGTTAGAATGGACTATAAAGAGTTGCTAGCTAGACCTGCCAATTATCACTATTAGGTAGACATGTTTTTATTATAAATAAAGTAACAATCAAGCACAATGCTATTTTAACTGGATTTCCTATAAAGCTAAGAAATGATTGTTGATTTTCACAACCGCCTGGAATTCAAATCTTGAAGGAAACATCGAATGAACTCGAAGAAACGACGATGAATCAACCGAATGTCTCCAACAAATATCAAACTAATTTCACATATCTCATAGGAATCTCACAAATATGAACTTCTAACAACATCCAACTAATCAAACAACCCAATTTATCAAACTAATATCAATCTTCGAAAAAATAGTAAAATAATCAACAAAAAAATCACAAATAGCAAGACACTCAAAGTATGACAATAGCGATTTTCAACAATCAAACAAATTCCAAAAACACCAATCAATTATAAAAAAATTCCACAATAAAACGAATACCATAAATTCATAAAATGAACTTCACATAAAAATTGCAAACACAAAACTTCACTGATCTATAAACCCAACTTAAGCTTCAAACAAAAATGACAAACACAATTGAAGCACCTTTTCATTCTTATAGTCGGCACAGCAAAAGCAAAGGGAATGAATGATTATAACAGAAACGTTCAAAAAGCATCCACTCAAAGACTTCGTTTTTCCAGCACAAAATCTCAAATTCAAACAAAAAATTACAAACAGAAAACCAACCTTGGAGGCTCGACAGAGAAATCTGGGCGGTAGAGGCGGACTTGATGGTTGGCGTCTGATTTGGAAGGGTTTTGGGTTAGCTTGAATGTCACATCAAATGAAGGGAAAACATCATGGATGAAAAAAAAAAAAAAATCTCAATTTTAGGATTAATAAGGAAAAAAGAAAAACAAAGTGCTGATTACCATTTGTTTTTTTTGTTTTTGTTTTTTTTTTTGTGTGACTTGATTAGAAATAAAAGAAATCAGGTAAATTGGACTTTTTAACATAATTATAGGTCACATGTCAATTTCCGTGAAAAAACTAATGAAAATGGACGGAAAAATTACGGGCGCCGTTAATTTTATCGATTTGAATTTAAATTTTAAATTTTATTATAATAAAAAATTTAAAAATAATCACATTTAATTTTTTTATTATAATAAAAAATTTTCATATAAAATTACATTTTAACTCAAATTAAAAATTTAAATTAATAAACTAAACGAACCCTTAAAAATATAAGAAGTATTTTGCTAAAATTAAAAAAAAAAGACTAAATTATCACCTACTAAGGCTTAGTTTGGTATTACTGTGAATTTTAGAAAAAATACTTTTAGCTGTGCTGAAGGAAAAAGCAGCTGTTACAAAAAGTAACTGAGTGTTTGGTAAACTGTAATTATAGTAGCTGTGCTGGTTCTAAAATCAGTATAATAGCGTTTGGTAAATTTTGATGTTGAATTGCTGTGGATATGTAAAATGACCAAAATAGACATGGTATGGAACTTAAATATATAAATTATTTTTGGTATTTAGAAATATTTATTTAACTTAAAAATACATAATGCTATAATTTTGAGTTTTTTAACAATAAATTTATGATAATTAATTTTTTTTTTTATTTCTTCATTCACAATATAGTTACAACTAAAATGAGCATTAGTGAGTAATCAATTTGTTGAATAAAAAAGTACATTTCATCTTCAAAAAACTGACAGAATCATTAAAAGAATTAAGTCGTGTTCATTAAACTTGTCGCAACTTGATCTCATACTTCAACCATTTCTTGTGATAGTGAAGCTTCATCTTCTTCTACATTGTCCTCCAGTTGATGCTCTTCATAAGCGAAAACATTTAGATTATTCTCGATTTCTTGAATATGTCGATCACGTTTATCATGCAACCTAATATAATTATGAAGCACCATTTTTACAATAACTATTTTTACTTGCTTCTGAAGCGCATCATCACATTGTGTGTCCAAGATCCTTCCAAAACAAAAGTACCAAATACATGACAACTGAGCATCTCAACAATCAAGATTTTTAAAGCAAAAATTTGCTTTGAAACACATAAAAGATGCTGGCCTGTAACATTATCTTCCAAATAACTGCAACTGGTCATAAAAAAACTACAAATATATAAATAAAACAAACAACCAGATAGATGCCAATAGTTTCTTTTTCATATTGTCGTTTGCTTCTTCCAATGAAAATGGTCGGGCTCTCCCATATGATAATTAGTGTAGAAAGCTATGCTTGAATCTTAGGCTAGTTTAGTCCAAAACACACGCAAATATTGTCATCAGGCGTTTCAGATGTAATATGCTGGTGTCAAGAGGCAAAAGAATCCAATAACAAAAGCGGGGATACTTTGTGCAGGAACCTCATATCTTGGGGTGGAAAAGTGATTCACTAAGAACTTTGTGGGAAAATTTACATATAGCAATCACAGATTAAACCTTTCGCAACGGAAAAGAAACATTTATATATAGCAATCATAGATTAAACCTTCTGAAACTATGCAGAACACACACGAAAAGATTAAACCTTCCTAAACACGGATTAAATCTTTGGTCCAAAGACTCCAAACACAGATTAAAGTTTCAAACCATAAACAAATGATCATAAATCCAAACCATAAAGGGAGATCAAATCATCAACACGAAAGCATTGGAAAGATCAAAGTTTCAAACCGTTTTTCTTTGAAGGCAAAAATCAGAAAACTAAAACCCAAAATATTCAAACTAAAAATTAGACCCAAAAATCCAAATGTTCAAACTAAAAATCGCGTGGTTAGAGAGACTTACCTCTTGATCTGATGACGAGAGACGGGAAGTGAGGATGAGAAGGGAGACCAGCAACGGAGAGATCAATCGGGCGGAGGAGAAACCAAACGAGCTTCGAACCACTAACGGAGTGATCAACCGGCGAACGGAGAGAGAGGCCGGTGAACCTTGCTACGAACGGCGAGGAGAGGAGAGGAACACATAAAAAATTTTCGCAGAGGAGGAGATGAGGAGAGATTCGAGTGGAGGAGAGTGGATTTTTCTGAAATGAAAATTGGTTGTAAATTTCATATTTCAGTGGGGGTAAAATTAGAAATAAAAAATTTCATTAAACACTCAAAATAGATTTCCGAATCAGAATCAGCCTAAAGCTAATTATGCTTTTAGCTTCAGATTAAGGGAAAATTCTTTAAAAATCTGTTTTATCAAATAAGATTTTAAATTTTAGATTCTCACATGAGTATTTTTTCTCTCCTAGAAGTAATACCAAACCCACCATAAATAAGTTAAGAACCATTTATATAATTTTCTTGAGTTTCTTTCAAAAAAAGAAATTTCGTGATTTTTAAAAATATTTAATATATATATATATATATTTCAACTCGAGTTATTTTTATTTTATTTTTTTATTCAAAAGTATGCAGGGTAATTTTTACCCTCCAACCATCCCCCCACAAAAAAAAGAAAAAAAGAAAAAAGAAACAGGCGTTGATTGTTAAAGCTCAGGCATCCTATTACTGAAACACACCAAAACTGGTTCAAGAATCCGGTAAGTCGGTGACGCGTCTCCAACAGCATCGACTTCGCTCTTATTTTCTCTCCCACTTTTTCCTGAGAAAATTTTTGGGTAGAGAGAGCGAGAGAGATGGCGCTTGCGGCGCCTGGGCAGATAAATGTCGAAGAGCTATCGTCGTGGGGGTCTCGAAGCGTCGACTGCTTTGAGAAATTGGAACAAATTGGCGAAGGCACTTACGGGTTAGTACTCTTCTTCTTCCCCTGTGTTATTGCCCCAGAGAGAGAGACAGAGAATTTTAGAGAAAAATTTTATTGGTTGTGCTTGTTCTTAAATAATATGTATATGTCTTTGTAAGTGCCAGAATTGCTAATAAAGATCGCGTATGCATGGTTAAGAGAGTTGATTAAATATAGATACATGAATTTGATGGTTTTGCTGTTTTTGGTTAAAATTTTTCGAAGCTGTCAGGGAAAAAAAAAAGATCGGAAGTTTTTAAGTTAGGAGAATTTTATGGTTGGGTATAGGGAAAAAGAAAAAAATAGGGCACAGTTAGAACTGTCAATTTGTGTGTGTGTGTGTGTGTGTATGTTAAATTATCATATTTTTCCTTAATTGTGAAATAGTTTAGAATGGTGATATTTTTTTCATACCTACCAGAGAATTTTCTTTTTTAAGTTATTAGAAGCTCAATTTAAGTCTGGAAGATTTGACTTTGAATAAACTACATTATGAAATTGGAAGGAAGACAGGAGAAGAAAAGGGAAAACATGTTTAGGCAGCATGAGTGAAAAGAGTTAATTTTGATGCTTTCATTTTACTGCTTTATGCCCTTAAAAGTTCAATCATCTTAACTTAAGAGTGACTCTTCTTAACCTTAATTGTTGCGGCTTTGACATTTATTGAGTTGCTTTCTTTTTTTGGTTAATTTTATGCTTTTGCAGTCAAGTGTTCATGGCCAGAGAAACTAGGACTGGAGAAATTGTTGCTTTGAAGAAGATACGAATGGACAATGAGAAAGAAGGGGTATGTCACGTTTTTATTTAACCATGTCTTGTGATTATATGGAAAATTGTACATTTTCAATTCGATTCGGATTATGTGAAAGTTTGAGGTGTATTCAGCTGCGCAGAATGTCACAACTGGACACACGCACATAAAGAGCACAATTATGCGCAACTGCATTTTTTCTAATAATTTCCGCTTAGATTTTTTATCCCCCTTTTTCGACAATTCCGTTTTGTGCAGTTCCCTATTACGGCCATTCGTGAAATTAAGATTCTCAAGAAGCTTGATCATGACAACGTTATTAAGCTGAAAGAGATTGTGACTTCTACTGGTACTTTCTAAACCTATATTGTTTTTATAGATTCTCATACTTTAAAGTAATTGTTTGTTTCATGTCTAATTATGATGTTGCTGTCTTCAAGGTAATGAGAAGGATGAGCAAAGCAATCAAGGTCAGTAAGTTGTTGGGTTATTAAATATTTTTATGGTTACTTTCCCGTCTACCCAATTATAAGTGGATGTATATTCTTGTCTGTAACAGAAAGCATTAAGTTCAAGGGTGGTATCTATATGGTATTTGAGTACATGGACCATGACTTGACAGGCCTCGCTGACCGTCCTGGACTCAGATTTACAGTTCCGCAGATAAAGGTTACCTTTTTTTAATTAAAAAAAAACTTTAAAAAAGGGTATTTATTTATGTATTTCTACTGGATTATCCGATTCCGAACAGTCCTCTAATATTCATTTTTCAGTGTTATATGAAGCAGCTACTGACTGGGCTCCACTACTGTCATATAAATCAAGTACTTCATCGTGACATCAAAGGTTAGTTATTAAGTTATTATATATCCTTTATTTGACCTGAAGCTTCTGTGGTGGATCCATTCTAAGTAAAGCATACTTTTCCAGGTTCTAATCTTTTGATAGATAATGAGGGAAAATTGAAGCTAGCAGACTTTGGCCTTGCAAGATCATTTGCCAATGACCATGGTGCAAATCTTACTAATCGTGTTATCACTTTGTGGTATAGGTAAGTTATGGACTTAGAATTCAAGTGTTGCATGATTTCAAGTGCAAGTCCCCGGGTTTTTGTGAATTAATATTGTGCGATTTTGAGCAGGCCCCCAGAATTGCTTCTTGGAGCCACAAAGTATGGTCCAGCTGTAGATATGTGGTCTGTTGGTTGTATATTTGCTGAGCTTTTGCATGGAAAGCCAATTTTGCCTGGGAAAAATGAGGTGAGATACTGAGATCTGTGGGATGATTTACTTATTATTCTAATGGAGTCGTGGAAACAATAACTTTGCTGCTTGGGGGTGGTTTTCTAACACGTTGGTCGTAGACACACAGTTCATTTCCCTTTTGGGTTGCCACAGTTTTTCTTTCGTATAACTTTTTTTTTTTTTTGTAGCAAGTTCAGAAATACATTGTAGGTTAAATATGTTGATGCTTTAAAAAAAACACCCACCTATATTATAATCGCAATCTTGTTGAGGGGAAAAGCAACAAAGGATAATATATAGAGTCTAGAAATATGATCTTGTTAACAACTTCTTTCATATACTCGTCAATATGTTTTGACTTATGGTCACAGTCAGTGTAAGATGAAAGTAGGTGTTTATATTGACTGCCTTTGGCCCATGAACTCTTAGTAAAGCATGTTCTGGACGTGGGGGACTGCTCATCCTTTTGCCTTGTAAACTTTCACGCACTTCTTGTAGTATCAAAAGTGATGAGCTTTTTTAATAAGCCTAAAATTTGAAATTCCTTTGTTTGCCTTTGGTCTTGAAGGTCAGACATATACTGGATAAGAAAGTTTAAATTTAAGTTATTTTTTTTATTATAATGGTCCCGTGAGGGAATAAAAAGGCTTATGCTGACATTTTGTTCTCTGCACATATTGTGGAACAGAAAAAAAAAAGGAAACTAAGTAATTATTAAGATTAAAAAGAGACAAACAAATGTTTTTGGATGCTATACCATAACAGATATTTTTCCACATTTATTGTAGCCTGAGCAACTGAACAAGATATTTGAGCTTTGTGGATCTCCTGATGAGATAAACTGGCCTGATGCTTCTAAGACTCCTTGGTATAACAATTTCAAGCCATCAAGGCCCATGAAGAGACGTGTCAGGGAAATGTTTAGTCTGTAAGTAAATAAAAGACTCTTTGCATCGAGTGCTTTTGATGGAAAACGGTTTTTATGTAGATTTCTCTGTAAGAAGCTTGATGCTTATGATTTGAATTTTCATTACAGCTTCGACCGCTATGCTCTTGATTTGCTGGATCACTTATTAACTCTTGATCCAAATCAGGTGAGCGTTATCTGACATATACTTTTTCTTGGTACAAGCATTACTAGTTCTTATTTATTCATTACCTGACAGATATCCTTATAAGACTTTCTTACTGTCCTTTGTGTTTTACAACTCATCTATTCATTGCCTCAAGTGGCTTGCATAAAAGTTTCTTCTCTTCGGTTTGCAGTCCCTGTTTGAAATAAAAGAACTGGTCCTTCCTAATTCTTGGTTGTCTCACTAAAAAAAGAAACACATGATTTCATTATTTTCTAGTTGTGAGTTGTGACACAATTTGCAGTTTGTGCTGACAACTATAAGGAGGCTGGTGATTGTCAATTGGCATACAATTTACTAATGGTTAAAATACCCTGCATTATTCTATATATATTTTTATTCATTTTGGTTTTAGTTCGACTTATAATGCACATTCCCTGCATCTTTACTTATGTATGTATATGTTCTTCATTTTATTTTTAAATTTTTCATAACATCTTTTAAAAGCCACTGGAGCTCAACCCGATTTAGTTCTTATGTCTTTCAATGTAGTTCCCAGTAATCTCCCTTCTTCCCGATTTTAGTTCCCAGTAATCTTCCTTCTTCCCGATTTAGTTCTTCCCCTATTTTTCTGTTCTTTTATTGGAAACCAGCTTTTTCTTGTTTTATCTCCTTTCGTTGTATGAATTTTGACTTTGTAACTCATGTCTAGAATTAGCCTAATTGTCCTTTTTGTCTACCTTTCTCTTGAATAGAGATGGACTGCTAAGCAAGCACTGGATGCTGATTATTTCTGGAATGACCCTTTACCTTGCGACCCTAAGAGGTATGTTACTACTTCGACTTAAAAAAACCTAACAACAGTAATAATAATAACAATAATAGTAATAATAATAAAAGTAATAGTAATAATAATAAATCTGAAGTCACGGATTGTTAACCATGCTAAATCTTTTTTTTTTACAGCCTTCCAAAGTATGAATCGTCGCATGAGTTCCAAACAAAGAAAAAAAGGCAGCAGCAGCGGCAAAATGAAGAAATGGCAAAGAGAGAGAAACTGCAGCATCCTCAGCAGCATGCCCGTCTACCTCCTATTCAACATGGCGGCCAAGCTCCATCTCATTGGCATGGACCCAACCATCCCATGAACAATGCACAACCCCCGGTGTCGAGCGGACCAAGTCACCACCACTATGTAAAGCCCCGAGGTCCACCCACAGGACCAAACAGGTATCCTGCAAGTGGAAATCAAGGTGGGGCTTACAACCCAAATCGCGGCGGTTACAGCAGCGCTCCATACCCGCCGCAAGGACGTGGCCCTCCATATGGGGGAAGTGGCATGCCTGTTCCTGGCCCAAGAGGAGGCCATAGTGGTTATAGTGTTGGTCCTCCTTACTCTCAGAATACACAGTATGGAGGCTCTACCGCTGGCAGAGGCCACAGCCGAAATCAGCAGTATGGTTGGCAGCAGTGAAAGCGAGGAAAAAAGGAAAATCTTTGGAATTAGGAAGATAGATTGATCTAACAAAGAACAATGTGACTTTGATCACTTCTGATGGTGAATTCAGGTTTTGCATGGCCAGTATTAATTTTCATCTAGGCTTGTGAAGTCCTGCCTATGTCTGTATAGGTCTTAGTTTAAGTGTCTTTGTATATTCTTTTTGGGAGATTGTCTGTTTCCATTGGAGAAACTGATATTCGTCCTGGCTCATTTGCTTTCCTGATTGATTTTTTTTTTCACTGACCAAACTTTTTTCTTACCGACCAAACTTTTTTCTTAAACGCGGGTCTCTCTGTCAACTTCTCACTTTCCTAGTCTTGGATGCTGAAAACTTTTTTGTCGTTTTTCTCCAGAGTTAATTATGGATTTAAACATAATTAACGAGAGGTACAGATAAATTCAAGGTAAAGAAAAAGCTACTAGTGTTTGAAAGTGCTTTGGGTTGAGACTTGGGTCAATACATTAATAACGTTTTAGTGCGTCTTCAGAATTTCAAAAGGCATACTAAAAAAAACAAATAAATAATTAAACATATAATATTATAATTCAGTCAGCAGTCATTTGAATCAAACTGTCAAACTTTATAAAATGCCCCGTGTCATTTTAAGGTAATGTTCATTGATGATAGTTATTTCAACGAATTATAAATTTAAGTTTCAACTTATGGCTAGTGTAGAAGCACATAATGTTATGTGGTAACTTCATTTAAAAACAAAAAAAAAAAAAGACAAATTACACATTCCACACCCCGTCCCGAATTATAGGTCTTGTCACAAAATGTCTTGAATTTTAATTTAGCATTCTCTTCCTGAATTTTAACAACTCTTGACAAATTTTCCTTTTCGATTAAATTCTTACTTCTATTATTATTGTTAGCCTCTACTGATAAACCTCTAAAGTTAGTGTAGTAGAAAAAATGACAACTACTACTGCGTAATTGCACTTTTATGTGACTAAACGAGGAGAAGCTAATAAAGTAATTATATACTAAAAATGGTTCAACAACACATTATTTGTGTTATACGTGTTATTTCTATTAAAAAAATTAACATGAGTTTTTTTTAGTTAATTTTTGCATAACATTTTTCACCAAAAATTCAGTTGAGGGGGAAAAGTTTTAAGAGTTATTGAAGTTTGAGGGGAAAAAAACTAAAATTAAAATTTACTAGGCATTTTGTGACAGTCTGTCGTTTAGGTAGAAAAACGTGTAATTTGTCCTTCAAACAAAAAAGAGCCTGGACACAAACTAGGCAATAGGCAAACAAAGACAAACAAAGACAATGGTATAACGTTTTGTCGTATTTCCTCTGCTTTCTTTCCCACACTAAAGTCTTAACAAATTTTCTTTTTCTGAAAATCTGCCAAGGGAACAAGGTGGACAATTGGACAATAATTTTTGTCAAATTATGTCGGGTTTATACTTGGAACTAGGTTTTCTTATTTCAGTTCCCTCATAAACCCCCTGAACAAACATTGCAAAGAGGATCTTCAGCCAAGTCTATATAACTCATTATTATGAAAAAGGAAACCGGAATCCTTAATGTGACAATCAAGCATATTATGTGGACTCCACTTTGAGAACAATCTTCATGAACTCGTACACAAAGTAACTAATGGCAGCTGATGGTAAAACCTGCGAGTCAAGACAAGGACAAAAAAGAAGAAAAGCATTATGTTGGATTTCCAACAAAACATTATGCAATACAGAGTGTTCCACATAACAAGTTGAGGAGTCAATTGACATAAAAAGTTTACAATATGAAGACACCGTGATCAAAAATGTTGTGCACCAATAGTACAATTTAAATTAAGGGTTAGCAAACATTCGAGTCATACCTGCAATAAGCTTGGAACTAGTCCTGCGTACAGAGCCGGAATGCCTCCTTGCTCAACAATTTTCATACAAGTTGACAATGCACTTAACCTTGTTGCGCGAACTTGCAATTGAAGTTGTCTCCTCACGACTTCAAACGGGTATGTCGCGGCTTCCGAACAAAGACCAGCAATGGCCCCATAGAGTAATGTTCTAATAGGACCCAATTCTAGTTGTTGCAAAGCATTCAGATCCTCACGCTCTTGTTTCATACGTTGGATTCTTTCCCTCCCTTCTGGTGAATGCAGATAAGCTGCTTTTAATATATCATAAACGCCATAGAAAACTGCGCCTGAAGGTGCCATGCTCACAATCGATGGTACTAAACCCTTGTAGAGAGAAAAGAATCCTTCAGTTTGGATCATATGGCGGAAAGCACCAATTACACCACCCAAGGCCTCCCCACCAGGTGCTATCATAATGGTTCTGATCTGAGATAATCGATAATTTTTAGCATAATATTAAAGTAAAATTTCTTCAATAGAAAAAAAAAAACGTGAGGTACCAAAGTACTACTAACTACAAATTCAACTAATTTCTCCAAAGGATGCTTCAGAGCTCCCCTGGCAGGTACTTCCGAGTTTGCACGCTATATGACTCAACCATAGAACAAACACAAAGCAATCAGTAACTAATATATGGTTTTAAATGGTTACAAGATTCAAGATTTCCCACAAGTTCTGTGAACTAAACAGAATCTAAGCATAATAAAATGTGTGAAAGCTTCTTTGTCTTCTCTTTTCGCGTGAACCTGGGCAATTCAGATTAGAATTGAAGTATGATGCCCCACTAAGAAGTATGTGCCTTGACATCATGTAGGTTGTCAAAGCATGAACTCCTTCCAATAGACGCTCATGAAACAAAAGCAGAAGCACAGCCATAACTACATTTTTGTAACTACCAAGTTGTTAACATTTTCAACGCATTAATCAAATTTTAGTATCTCCGCTCAAAAGGGTAAAAAAAAATCCATTTAACAACCAAAAGTCTATCTGAACCAAATGGAACAAATTCAATACTTACAGTGTCCATAGGTATGCAGAGCACAGTAGCCGTAATTCCAGCTGCAGCACCGGCAAGAAACCTCTCAAAATTCGTGGTTTCCTCGTTACCAGAAATTTTCATCAGATGATTTCTATATGTATCATAAGCATAGAAGTTAATAGCCTTAAAAGGCGCTGTACGAAGAATATTGACAAAATTCCCTTTCCAAAACCCTTTAAGCCCTTGAGACACGGCAATAGTTCTAATGAGCTCAAAGAGGTTCTTCTGCTCGCCACGAACTATGTATTCCAGCTTTAGTCTCTCAAGAGGTGCAACGAATGTCCTGAGAAAACAGCCCATGTATTCTCACGAGACCACAACGGTTGAAGAGTTTAGAATATAAAAAACGACAATGAAAGAGCAAAACAATATATATACTATGGTGTTTGTCTACTATCTTCCGATGAGCATACTTTCACGTAACATATACAAGTGAGAAACATGACATTTTATTTATTCAACATATCACTAATATTGTAAAGGCCTAACAACAGTCTAGATAACTAAATTTTTTAGTGTTACACAATTACGTTGAATAAATATTATGTTACATTTCTCTCTTCTACATATTATGTGAAAGTACGGTCTCGTAAAACTGCTGTAACAAGACCTATATATATGAAGTATTGTTAACTATATGTGAAGTGTTATCTAGAATATCATGTTAGACTTTAGTAGTTGTGTTTGGTCAGCCCAAAAGTTCACGTTTCCTGGAAAATCACATTGAAATGGAAGAAGGGTCGTCTTTGTCTATTAAACAGATTAATCAAAACACATTGGGGAGTTGGTTTTGTTTTTTTTTTTTAAGTTTTTTGAGAAAAAAAATAAAAACGGAAGAGAAACTTATTAATGTCTCTCTCGAGTACGAGTACAGAGAGAGACATTAATAAATTTTTTTATATTGAAAATAATATCTTGATAAAATTACTAAACGTATTTTTAAAAATAATTTCTATCTAAAATTAAAAATATTTTCATTTCTATTTTTATATAAAAAATAAAATTATTTTAAAATAAATTCTAAATGTACCCATAATACTTTAGCCAAATATAGACCAAAAAACAAAACACTTTCAAATAAGAAAAAAAATACATATACATATAAAATTTGATTCAAAAAGAGAAAAAATGAAAAGAAAAAGAAACCTTGAGACCATGGCAGCAACAGCACCAGCCCAAAGGTGCTTGGTCACGTTGAAAACGCCTGAAGATTTCTTCTCCTTAGTCCGTACAGTCTCGTAAACCGCCACGGCCTCCTCCGACGAGGTAATAATATTCCCATTTTGCCCCAAAGCTTCTCTGGATTCCCGATCGTACCCCTCCTCGTCACCATCACCACTATTTGCCTTTATCGACAAGCTCACCGACAAGAAAACTCCTCCTCCGCCGCCGCCGCGTCGGCGTCTCAGTCCCCCGAAACGTACCGTTTCTCGGCGAGTCGAAACCGAAACGGGATCCGAAACGGCGGCGTTCGATGAAACCGAGGAGACGAAGGAAGGAGGAACGGCGTGGGTCGGGTCGAGGAAAAGGCCTCCGCAGGGGAAGAATAAGCGGCGATCGGACGGTGGTGATTGGTCGATCATCAAGCGCGCGAGAAGAGGAATGGTGTTCTCCGTTCCGCTCCGCATTGTGGTGTGGAGATTCGCAGAGGCATGAGAGAGAAAGAGAGAGCGAGAAGGGTTTATTTAGAGAGAGAGAGAAAGTGAGCTTGAAGAGCACAAAGGAATAGAATAGTGGAATTATGGATGAGAATGATGGGAAGGAATTTTAATGGTGGATGATTATTATTCTGCTTCTCTTCTGCTTAGCTTAGCTTCCATCGCCGAGAGCTTCAAACACAACAAAATATTTGCGTGTTTGTTTGCTTTATGTTTCTCTCTCTAACTCTCTCTTACTAGTTGTTGTCGTTGTTGGTGGTGATGTTGACTAAATTCTTCACCGAATTTTTGCTGGTATTTTTGTATTTCTAATTTTTTGTACGAGAAAAAGAAGGAAAGGAAATGGCCAATAAGAAAATCAATAGGAATTCGACGACATATTATTAATGTTTTCTGTGATTGTCGTAGACTCGTAGCCGTTTGTTTCTCTGATTTTGACATGTCCCATTGTCGTTTTTTTAAAATGCACGTTTCCGAGTTTTTCCCACAACCATTTTTTGCTTGTTAGTTGTTACGTAAGGATTTATCACCCAGCCGAGAGAAAAAATCGAGAGCCTGTCTGGTCTTACAGCATAAGATATTAAGACGTGGAAAATGGAGGGGATTTTTATTACTATATTATGTAATTAGTAGAGATGTCAATTGTGTCATCTGCTTCAATTTAACCATTTTAAATTGAGTTTAAATATGTCTCGTATTGTGTCTGACTGATCTATTTATTTTATTATGTGAGCATAATTCATTTAATTTTTAAGACGTCGAGTCTAGCTCACAACTCATTTATATGGGTCGTGCCCTTAACGTGTTTAGATTGTGCTCGTTCTCATATTTTTATTGTATTATTAATGTGCCTTTATCGTGCCAATAGCATATTATCAACAAATACAAGAAAAATAAGCCTGGAACATAATGAAAAACATTAAAAAAAAACATATCATTAATTAAAAAAACTGCGTTAAAAACTTTACTAAGTAAATTTTATTGTGATAAAATCTTAACGAAGAAAAAAGAGTAAAATTATAAGTCTTATAAAAGAATGCATAATTAAGTAAAAGAGTACACTTGAGCCCGTTTATTTCGTTGATTCGAGTTTTTAATTCGAGTTGAGATGTGACTTTGTGTAAGAGCTTTTTACTGTAACAAAAAAGTTAGATGTGACTGTTTCTGAAAGCTTTTTACTGTAACAAAACTTAAATTCTAAACTCGAATCGGCGAAATAAACAGGATATCAAATTATATTTTTTTTCCACTTGATCCTTCACTCGTACCGGTATTTTGAAATTCATTAATTAAATCATTATTTTCTTTGTATTGTTGTGTCCTTTTCCTTGCACACTCCCGATGTTTGACGCACTTCAATGCTTCCACTAAATCATGATTAAGTCGGCACCTTATATCCTCTCAAATTCTCCCCACTGGAGCTGAATGCTTGCTCACCTTCTTTTAATAATTATTTAGCTTTTATTTGAAAGAATCAGTTCAGTTTCCATTTTATTGGCTTAATTATTATTTTTATTTTTATTAAAACTTCTTAATAAAATAAATATTTTTATGACATGTAAAATATATTAATAAATTAGTTTTATACTTCATCTTTATTTATTGGGCTTTTATCGTGCTTTTAACGTGTCCATATTTGTGTTCGTGTCATGTCCTTAACATGCTTCGTGTCTAAAAATTATATCAAGCCCAGCCCATTTAATAAACAAGATGGATTAGACCCATTTAATACTCGTGTCATGCACGTGCAATGCTCATTTTTTAACGTGTTGTGCTCATTCTTGCCTGTTAAGACCGGTCTGTTTTCACATTAGTAACTTGTGTATCAAATTAATTATACAGCACACATGAGAGACATCACATTAATTATACTAAACACGTTTTATCCCCCAAGATTATATGCCCCTGTTTCAGAAAAATGTATTTTTTCAAAACGTCTCCGGTATATGTAGAACTTTATTCAAATATAGATCTATAATGCCACAGTGATGAGATGTTATTAACCCAAGATTTTATTCAAATATGTTGAAAACAAATCAATATTGTTATTAACCAAAGATTTAAGACAACTTGTCGTAAACAATCCAATATTGTTATTAACCCAATATTTTATTCAAATATGTTGCTCTCAACACAAAATGACTTGTCGTTTATATAGGTATTTAATGTCCTGATTAACCGGTTATTACCAACTACATTTAAAGTGTCAACAAGCTGCCGGTGCATTACCCTCTCTTCAATATAGATGCTCATATACAATATGAATGGTCTAGGGACAAAAAAAAGGAGGGAGTTACGGTCAAATCCCTCAAATATTATCTCATTCATTTCACTAATTTGAATTTTCAATTTCAGTTTTACTACAGTTAAAAACTCTCATAAAAAGTCACGTATAATTTTTTTTACTACAGTGAAAAATTTTCACATAAAATCACATCTCAACTGAATCCACTAACTGAACAAGATCTATATATTCTGATTAAATTAAATTATATTTTATTTAACTTGATTCTGATTTGATCTCATGATAAAAAAGTGTATCTAAATATGAGACAACGATTAAAGATTATGTCTTAGGATTTTTTCACCCCCAACCACAAAGTTTTTCAAATGGGCAAGAAAATAATAATTTTGTCTTGGATTTGGACTCACTGGATTATTCGTGCCACATGTTATCTCTAACTTATGCCAAATTGCACGTAGCTTCCAAAGTGAAGGAATAATGCCGTCGAGCGGTCAATAAAATACGTAGAATATGCTCATCGCTTCCCAATGAGCAGAGTATGGCATGTCATGCATTTGTTTTGGGAATAAAAGAAAAAAAAATACAAGTTTTTAGGGTATCAGAGAAATGACTGAATTTTAGAGAAAATTAGGAAAATATAGTCGATTTTTTTAGCTGAAAAGGTAATTGTTTCTTTAATTATACATCTTATATTTATTAGCTAGAATAATTAAAATTATTTAATTTATTAAGTCGATATCATATATACGAAGAATTATTTAGTACACCGGGTATATCACGTCATATTATTTATATGGTACACTCATATAATGAGATTGTACCATTGGTACACCCGTCCAATGAGATTGTATCATTAGTACACCCGTCCAATAAGATTGTACCATTTAGACATTTTGTCTATGTCGGCTTTTCACTTTTATGAAGTGAAAAGTTGACATAGAAAAAATGTATCATTTAGTGAAAAACTAACATAGACAAAATGTCTAAATGATACAATCTCATTATATAGGTGTACCATATAAGTAATATGACGTAATACACCCGGTGTACTGAATAATTCCTCAATATATACAACATAATTAATAAATCTCATTTTATTAGGTAAAACCGACCATTTTTCATGAATAAATTTTAACCTAGTTATAAATAAGGAAAATATCTAACTATTAACGTTCACTTAAATTTGATAATATATACAATGATGTTACTACCCCTAACAACGGGATTAAAAAAAATTGCACTTTTATATTACAAAATGTTATAAAACAGCTTTTACAATGTGAAAATTGGGATTGTCACGCTTCGCGGGTGACGTCGTGATGGCATGACATTCGAGGGTGTCGAACTTCCTCTAGAGTCTAGAGGTGGTCATTATTGAAGCTGTTAGCATGAAAAAAGAGACAAATACCTCTTATAATGAATGAGTCTGAAATTTTTATCTTGTATTCTTAATTAATAATTTTTTTTATTAATATAATAATTTGATTAAAAAGATATTAATTAAAAGTGAGAGATAAAAATTATGACCCATATACTCTAAAAGTAAGTTGAATAATTTTCTCTTGCCTTTTTTTAATGACTATAAAGATACTAATTAAGAGTAAGGAGTAAAAATTTAGATTCATACACTCTAAGGGTAAGTTGAACAATTTTCTCTTGCCTTTTTTTTTTTTCCTTTTTTGCATTGGAATCTCGTATCACATAGAGATATTTACTGTATCTGCCATAAAAATTGCATGAGGATCGAGTTCGACCATAAGGGGAAAGACTTTCACTTTTTACTGCCATGTGGAAGAACATGATTTCATCATAAAAGACAAAAGTATCCTTGGGTTTTTTTTTAAAAAAAGTTTTTTTTCTTCCCCACACATGCACGTCGGCCGCCGCCACCAAGCTTGCTCACTAGAGCTCGACTCGAGGTGCTCTCCCGGATCACTGAACTCTTCATCATCCTGCGCCTCCTTTAGATCTAGTGACCGTGAACGATGATTAGCGGATTTGTTTTGTGATTCCTCGTGCATTTTTGTGATTTTGGTGCCGTCGTTAGTGGTGGTTTTTGGTAAAACCAGCGGTATAATGGTTCATATCCGATGACATCGCCACAAGTAATGGTGGTTACCAGTAAATACCGATTGGTAACCATTTGGTATCCGGGTGGATATTGTCTAGTATTTGGGTGGATACTGATAATCATGGAAGATGCTGGATTTTTAGGTATTTCAACAACTATTGTTGCTAACGCTGGCAGTTGTCCGCCGGATACTGTCAGGTATCTCAATTAGATACCAGTTTTGTGGTCGGATACTGGCGGGTGTCTCAGTCAGATACTAATATTGTGGCCGCATACCGACTAACATCCTAAGAGTATACTTAGGGCGTGTTCACTTCACCGATTACAATTTGTGATTTGAGTTGAGTATATAGATTGAAGTTAGAATTCAAATTCGAATTAAAACTGAAATCAAAGTTAGTGTTTAAGAGTGCACATGGTGATTCAAACCTTTCTCCCAATTCAAGTTTATAAGTGTTCACTTCAACAATTTCACAATTCCAACCAACCCACCCCATTCAAGTTGGGAAATGAAAAAAAAAAAAGAAAAAAAACTGAAAAACACGAAAATTAAAAAAAAAAATGCATACTACCAATTTGTAATAATGTCCGTATAATGTTATGCACAAAAATCTAAAAATGCAGATCCTTGAATTGGTGACTACAATCCAACATAACCTGTTACAAAACAAATATTTCATACATGATAACTGATACGTGTTTAGCTAGCGATTGTTATTTTCACCATGAGCCTACCATATAGTTCTCACAATTTCATCCCTCATAAGACCCATCTCCTTTCGACTCACGGTGTTTCTTGGTCCTTCCATACTCCGATCTGGGTTATGATTTTGATTGACATCCTCATCCGCGTTTAAGGGGTCAATTTCACTTACCGGTACCCCATCTTGTAAGTAT